AATTTGCTTCTTCTGTTTCTTGTTTTTCTCACTGGAACCAAACAGAAAATTTAATCCTTTTTCTATAAGGGAGCCATCAAACATTTAAGGAGAATTAATATATCACTTTAAAAATCTCATGTAGACCAATCATCTCCAGTTTCTTTAACTCTACTGCAAATCAGAGAATTTCATATTAGAAGAAATCTATTAAACAGTTTATAAAAACTCTTTAACAATGCAGGTTTCTCCAGAAAGTTCATCAGAAGCATCCATTTAGCTTCTGTTCTGCCATTAAATCTCGGATTGTCATGGGTTGAACCATGCCTAGCCCCCAGAAGATACATTGAACCTAACCTCCAGTACCTAACCCCTAGTACCTCGGAATGCTACCTTCTATGGAAAAAGAGTGGTTGTAGACCTAATTAGCTAAAATGAGATCACACTGGAGTAGGATGAACTCCTAATCCAATAAGACTAGATGTGTCCTTATAAGATTGCTGTGCAAAGATACCAGAGACAAGAAAGGAAAAACAGTGAGAACAACATCTTGTGAAGACAAAGGCAGAGACTGGATTTATGGAGCTGCAAGCCAAGGGACACCAAAGAATGCCGGTAAAACACCGGAAGCTAGGAAGAGACAAGGAAGGATTGATTCCCCTACAGCTTTCATAGTAGGACTCTGCCAACACTTTCATCTTGCATTTCTAGCCCCAGACCTGTGGGACGATAAATTTCTGTACCCAGTTGGTAAGATTTGTTACAGTGGCCCTAGGAAATGAACACATTGGCTTTGACTAGATTCTGGATTTTCTTTTCAGAATGATCCTAGCAGGATTCTTCCATATGGTAGAATCAGCAAAGCAAGGAAAATCCTTCCATCTAAGGAGCTCTTCCAACTAAGTATCTCCAGTACTGAATCGAAACCAATTTCAAACAGAGTCTATGAACTAACCTACATGTTGTCAAACATATGCCGTAGGGGAATGAATCTCCTAAATCACATATTTAGATGTACAAATATGAATTTTATTATTTTTTGATAACTTGATTTGTAAACAATGGCTTTGCTGAGATATAATTTATATGCTACTAAATCCACTCTGTGTATGATTCAGTGGTCTTCAGTACATTCATAAAATTGTGTGACCATCACCATTACTTAATTTTAGAATATTTTCATTACCTCAAAACAAACTCTATACTTAATAGCAACCACTCCTCCTTACCCCTTTTCCCTAGCCCCTGGCAACCATTAATCTACTGTCCGTTTTCATCAATTTGCCTATTCTGGACATTTCATATAAATGGAATTGTACACTATATGGTCTCTTGTGACTGGCCTCTTTCACTTAGTAATATGCATTTACGGTTCCTTCATTTCCTTTCATGACTTGATAGCTCATTTCTTTTTAGTGCCAAATACTATTCCATTGTCTGGATATACTATAGTTTATTTATCCAATCCAATTATTTATCCATGTACTGAAGCACATCTTGGTTTCTTTCAAATTTGGGGAATTACGAATCAAGCTGCAATAAACAGTTGTGGGCAGATTTTTGCAGGTGTAAATTTTCAACTCCTTTGGAAAAACAGCAAGGAGGGTGATTGCTGGATTGTATGACTAGAGTATGTTTAGTCTTGTAAGTTTCAAACTGTCTTCCAAAGTGGCTGTACCATTTTGCATTCCCATCACCAATGGTTGAGTTCTTTGCTTATTTTTTAAATAGGTAATTTATCTTCTTATTATCAAGTTAAAAATATTTTTAAAGTATATTCTAGATACAAATCCCTTATCATGCTGACTGCTGGGCCTTCTTAAATTTTCTGGACCTTAATGCCGTACCTGCATCTCTCTTGGCCATTTAAGAGAAACATTCTGTTGTTCCAAATGCCATGCCATGGTGGGGAGTTTGAGGACAGGGATACTCCTAGGTCTGTCTACCAAGAAAGACACCTACAGTTCTTTTTGTGCTATGGCTCTGCCTCCATGGATGATGGTAAAAACTGGCTCTTAAATTGGCATGCTATTTACAATATTTTGTTTAGATCATGAATCTTGTCCCCTAAGCCATTCAGGTTCTTGAGGTTTAATACTCAGAAACTAGTCTTTAAAACTCAAACTCTTTTCTCAAATTATTTTTTTTCTGCCAGCAGCATTACAACCTACTTTAAACATTCTAAAGCAAGAATTTGAGCCTTTGTCTACTTTGTATCCCTGATGCCTCCAGTTGAGTTTGAGTTTGAATGGGAACAGGGGTCAGGATATAGGATGTAATACTATAAGATATTATGTTGCTATATATGATAAGCAACATATATGATATAGAATAAGGGTTTCCAAAAGCAAGCTGAGTTCAAACAGGTACAAGTTGTACAGGTACCGAAACTCAACGACAGAAAATAAGCTAACTCAACGACAGAAAATAAGCTAAAAGTCATTCTGAAGAATGAGAAGCAACTACTCTTTGTATTCCCTCCAGTCACAGACTCTGAGGGTCGTCCATGAGGTTAAGATTGCAGAAATGCAATTAGAAGTCACTTAAGCTAAGAGGAGAATCTGTTTTAAGGTTATCATGGCCTCTCATAGTCTCAGAGAAACTCAGGACCTGAAAAGCACTGAGGCCTCAGAAACAAATGAATCAGGAACTCAAATGCAGTCATAGTTTTCACCTTTTCTGGGCCATCAAATTTCTGAAAGCTCTCCATTTTTGCACCTCCTAGTGGCATTTAAAAATACCCTATCCTTTTTTTTTTTAACATTTAAAAAAATTTATTTATTTATTCCTGAGAGACACAGAGAGAAGTAGAGACATAGACTGAGGGAGAAGCAGGCTCCCCAGAGGGAGCCTGATGCAGAACTCTATTCCCCAGACCCGACTGGGATCACACCCTGAGTCAAAGGCAGACACTCAACCCCCGAGCCACCCAGGCATCCCAAAAAGATACTCTATCTTTCTACATAATGCTTCCAAAATTCCCAGAAAAATGAGTTTCTCTACTTAATTTCAATGAAATATTGGCCAGGGTAGATCTCACTTTAATAATAAAGACATATTCATGGCTACCAGGCAGCTGGTGCTGTAGGGATAGGGAAAATGTCAACCCCCCTCCCCCCATAATAATTTGCTTGGCAGACAAATGTGTTAGGTGTTCTCTTTGTTATTCCTGACTGTATGTAGTTTTAAGTCCACAGTTCTTAAATTAGCATATGAAGACCTTGAAAATCTCCCTCTAATTTATTTTTCTGACCCCTGTCAATCTCTATACTCCAAGTCTAGCAGCTACCAACCTGTTTTCTCTTCCTGGAATGCACCATGTTCCTTCTGGCCCTGTTAGCCTTTGTATGTTTTTTTCTTTGTCTAGAACAACTTCCCCTCTCTAGTTTGCCTGATAATTTCTGTTCATCTTTTAGGTCCAGCATCAGCATTACTTCTAGAAGCATACTTGAATTCTAAAAACAGAGCTTATTGCTTTTTGTATGCTTAACTTTGTTCACAGTTCTAGAGTCCCTATTACACTGGATTGTAGTTGTTATGTAATTTGTCTCCTTTCTCTACCAACTAGAAATTTATTATTATTATTATTATTATTATTATTATTATATTTAGAGAGGGAAGGAGAGGGAGGGGCAGAGAGAGGGAGGGGGGAGTGGCAGAGGGAAAGAAAAAGAATCTTAAGCAGGCTCCAGGCCCAGCGCAGAGCCCCTAGTGTGTTTGGGAGTAGGAGTAGGAATAATGGATATAATTCTGGTTCTCTCCCTAGCAGTTTTACATTTCTGTCTCAGTCGCAAACAGAAAACAGGCAGTTGGTGCATCTCCTGGCCTTTGTCTTCACCCCATATCTTCTCTCTCCTCCCTTGTAAAACTAACCTAGGTTGTGAGGCCAAAAGTAACAGAAGAACATTCTTTTCCCCCCTCTTCCTTCCGCTTCATTTTTCTTCCACCCGTCTCCCAATTCTATTTTGGGCCTGTCCTTCCCCTCTCTCACCTTCCTCTGATGGAAACACTTTCACTTTTATCTCTGCCATATTTTACTGTGATTTTAATTTTTTTAATTAAATTTTTTAAAGAGTTTATTTGAGAGAGAGCGCTAGCGAGCAAGCACACGAGCAGGGGAAGGCGCAGACGGAGAGAGAGAAGCAAGCTCCCCACTGAGCAGGGAGCTAGATGTGGGGCTCAATTCCAGGACCCTCGGATTATGACCTGAGCCACCTAGGCGCCCCTTTACTGTCTTTTAATTTTTAAATTCATCAGCAGGGAAGGACTCTTTTTAAACATTTGGATTTTTAAGAAGAAAATTTGCAAAAATGATTATTATAAACGTAAATTAGCGATTGGAATCCTCCAGATTTCTAAGCTAGAGTAAGCCAGTCAGGTCATTTTCACTGCACCTGGGCAAAAATGCATCTGAATTCCTATTAAATAGATTTCCGGGATGAAATCTAAGTTTACCTCTCTAACTCTCCTCTAAGTCCTGAAAAACAAAATCAGTAAAAATGTATACATGCTTTTTAAGCGGGGGGGGGGGGGGAGCTTTGAATAAAGAGCGGAAGCTTTGAGCCGTGATTCCCAGTTTTTTGAAATCCAAAACCAATAACCAATGCCAATCAGTAACCCTTTCCATCTTTTACTTATAAAATAATATAAAGGATAGGAGAGGATAAAAAAAAAAAGGGTGAAAGAAAGTATAAATCTCAAAATAAAAAGTTACGGAGGTAACAACGCTAAACGACATCAGTAAAAGCAAATCCCGGACTAGCGTGTAAGGTTAGGGACCCCGCGGTGACTTAGCGAAGGCTCCGCCTCCGGGAACCATCTCTTTGGGGCTCACCTGCCGGCTCGCCCCGGCCCCTGCTCCTCCTCCGCATGCGCACTGCAGGCCCTCGCCTCCGGCGTCCTCTCGTCGCCTTCCCCACCCCCGAATTCCTGATTCCGATTGGTCTGTTTCATGGGCCCACCTCTTGGACCCAACCAATGGGGAAGCCGCCTCGGTGCCCCGCCCCTCTGCCGGCGGTGTGCGGCGGCGCAGCTTGCAAACCAGGGTTGCCAGTGGGGATGGCGGCGTTGGCGGCGACTGCGGCCCGGCTCTTGAGGCTGCGTGCGGCCGGGGCAGAAGGACAGTGGGGTCGGCTTCGAGGCGCGGGGCCGCAGGCAGCCTCGGCCGCTGGGGATGCGGCGCAGAGGCGGCATGTGGCTCACTTCACTTTCCAGCCCGACCCGGAGCCCCAGGAGTATGGTGAGCTAGGGGCTGCCCTGTCTGCGCCCGGTGCAACCCAGACCCCCGGGCCTGTGGGGGTCTCGCAAGGAATACCACGCTGCTCGTGCGGGCGGCGGGCGGCAGGCTGATCTCCTTGCTTCTTGATGTAATTCCTGTATTGCTTGTTTCTACTTGAGCGCCTGAGTGGTTTCTTCCCGGCTCTATTTTTGTGGCTGTGCAGCCCTCGAGAGGCAGCCCCTCGGCCCCCTCGAGATGGGTGAGAGGGCATACCGCGGTCTGGAAGGGCGGAGGGGTGGAGGGTGGTGCCCAGGGAACGCCTCCTTTTCTCAGTTCTCCATCCTTACTTTCCCAGCTTTGGCCCTAGGTGTGTTGTCCTAGTTTGCCCCGAGCTAGGCCGTTAACCGCAGGCACCGCTATTTAAAAAGAGAATTATTTTTCATATCATCATCATCATTATTATTTTATTATTGCTGTGGCAGGGAAGAGGAAATGGAAGTGCAATGATTTTCCCAAGGTCACAGAACAGGTTATTCCAAGAGATGGGAAGGAATCCAGGTTTCCCATTTGAGCCTAGCAATGGGCCTGGGCTGGGCTAGGCTGCCACTTAGCCAAGGTGAAGGTGAGGGGAAGAGGAAGCTGTCTAGTACTCTCATTGGTAGAAAGGTCACATAGCAAACTCCTCAGAGTATGACAGTTGCATGACCTTTACCATTTTTTCTGCAAGTTGTGTGTAATCTCCGAAAGATCTAGTGTCTATTATCTGAACCTCAGAAATAATAAGAAAACATTTACCTTCTCCTTGTCTGATAACTTTTCACGTGCTAGAGCTGATATTTTTTGGAAGAGTGTCTTTACTTGTGGGTAATAGGTATGAATATATAGTGAGTGCTTACCACAGGCAGGTACTATGCTGAAAAATTTACATTCATTATTTCATTTGATGCTTAGGACAACCTTTAGAGGTAGGTGAGCGATGTTAACTGAAGTCTTGAGATAGTTTGTCCAAGGCTTTACGGAAGGTAGTGACAGCTTCTGCTCTGGATTTTAATTATTCAGATTCTAAAGCTTCCATTCTAAATAATGTACTATAATGCATGTAGAAATAATTAACTAAGAGGTGTACCACTTTTGTGAAATAGTAGATACCATAAAGATGAATAGCAATTTCTTCTCAGCAACAGGATGAATCTTGAATTCTGTCTTCAAAGCAAAGAAACTTTAGCCTGATACTTGAAAAATAGAACACAGCTTTTCTTAATCCTCCCATGTCCCTTCCATAATTATGAAATTACTAACATCCAGGTAGAATGATAATTACGTTTATATGTTTGTCTTCATCCTAAAAATAAAAATAAATGCACGTTACAGCTAGTTTGGGCAACAGAAAAAGGTAAGAAAAAGTGATTACACCATCCACTATTTGTAAATACTGCTAACATAATCCTTCCAGGTATTTCCTTTCAGTTTGGTGGAATTAAATTACTCCACTGACAAAAATCAGTGGGATTACATTTTCCTATAACTGTAGTTTTAATGCAGATACAATCTGCATTATTTAACAAGAAGCATTTTTCCATATGATTACATGCTTTTCGTAACCTTTAGAAAGTCACGTGTTCCATGGAGTAGAAACACTTGTTCCGTGATTAAGATCTTGGCCCTAGAATCAGATTGTCCTACGTTTGATTTCAGCCCTGCTACCTATGACTTTGAATTACCCACCATCCATTAGTCTCACTTTCTTTGTAAGTCAGGATTTTATAATAATATCTACTTCAAAGGATGTTATAAGGACTAAATATAGACAGTTGTGTACAATGTACTCAACCCGGTTTGCCTACTAAGAAGCACTCTAAGTGGAAAGTTAATGATTGCTATTATGCTTTTATTTTACACTTTTGCACTGTTACAAATAATCGGGATAGAAACATTTCATGTATCCTTTATATATCTGAGATTATTTATTTATTTTTAATTTTTAAAAATTTATTCATGAGAGACACACAGAGAGAGGCAGAGACATAGGCAGAGGGAAAGGCAGGTTCCTGCAGAGGAGCGTGATATGGGACTCAATCCTGGAACTCTGGGATCATGACCTGAGCCGGAAGCAGACACTCAGCCGCTGAGCCACTCAGGCATCCCTGAGATAATTTCTTTAGAATAAAGTCCTAGGGATGAGATTTCTGACCCAAAGATATGAACAGTTTAATGGATTTTTAATACATAGTCCAAATGATCAGTTTATACTTCCATCTGCATTTATCAAAGTGTGAGTATTGAGTGTCACGATAAAATCGCAACTGTGCGGTGTGTGATACTGTGATTTATAATAGATACATACTGGTCTTTGTCCCCTTTCCCTGGCTCAGAGCTTCTAAACTTTTGAAATTTCTTTTGATGAGAACAGTAAAGGTGTCTTGTTATTCTGATGGTGTCTTTTCACAAGCTCCTACTTCATCTAAGGATGGGAGCTGGTCATTAGAGGAATCAGTTGTGTGACTAGAGGCTTAGGACTTTGGGTCGCACCCCTGACCTCTGTGCAGGGGAAAGGTTCTGGAGGTTGAATGAATTTAATCAGTCATGCCTATATAATGAGGCCTCCTTTGAAAACCCAAAAGGGCGGGGTTCAGAGAGCTTTTGCATAGATAAATAGGTAGAGATTTGGGGATTGTGTCATGCTTAGAGAGTCTGGAAGCTCCGTGAGCTTTCCCCATACCTTCCCCAATGCATCTCTTTCCTCTGGCTGGTCCTGAGTTATGTCCTTTTATAAGAAACCATTAATCAAGTAAGTAAAATATTTCTCTGTGTTCTGTGAGCTGTTCTAGCAAATTAATCCCAAAGAAGGGGTTGTAGGAACCTCTAAACCATAGGCAGTCAGAAGCACAGGTGACAACCTGGACTTGTGATTGGCTATTGGGAGGTGGGGGCAGTCTTAATAACACCTGAGCCCTTCACCTGTGAGATCTGACACTCGCTCCAGATCCCACTGGTTGAGCTGGATTGTAAGGCACCCAGCGAATGTTGTAGAATTGCTTGGTGGTGTGTTAAAAAATTGGAATTGGTATCAGTTTTGTGTGTGTGTGTACACATGCTTCGGTATTTTATTATTTTATGCTGTTTTACTATGTATTTGTTTTCTTTCTTTTTAAAGGTTTTATTCATTTATTTGTGACAGAGTGAGGGGGAGAGTGAGAGAGTACGAGTGGGATGAGGGGCAGAGGGAGAAGCAGACTCCCCTCTGAGCAGGGAGCTGGACACAGGGCTCCATCCCGGGACTCAAGGATCATGACCTGAGCAGAAGGCAGATGCTTAACCAACTGAGCCCCCAGGCACCCCGGTTTTATTTCTATTAAGGGATATTTACCAGATATTTGTTTGGCAGACTTTTAAAAAAGATTTTATTTATTTATTTGAGAGAGCACGCATGAGGGAGCACGAGCAGGGGAGAGTACTCTCCATGGAGTAGGGAGCCCAAAGCAGGGCTCAATCCCAGTGTCCCGAGATCATGACCTGAGCCGAAGGCAGACACTTAACCGACTGAATCACCCAGGCACCCCTTGTTAGCCAGATTTATTTTCTTTTGTGAATTGGATGTTCCTTGTCTTTGCATATTTACAAAATTATATGCCTAGTAATTTTGTCCATCAGTATTAATCCTGCCTACCATTATTTAATGGCTTTCTGTTCCAGATGTGTGGTAGACATCAGTCTATAATCCTCACAGTAAGTAACCTTGTGACCTAGAGAGTATTACACTCATTTATAGATGAGAAAATTGAAGCTCAGCGATATCCAAGTCTGAGAAGTAGCAGGGCCAAAATGTGAGCCCAGATATGTCTACCTGAAAAGCCTCTCACACTACTGTTGTGCTAATATTTTGTATATTAAAAATATTAATGAAGATGGCAACTCTTTGTCTTTCATGTATGCTACAAATAGTTTTATTTTTAACATTTTGGTTATTATTAGTATTATTTTTTAAAGATTTTATTTATTTATTCATGAGAGACACAGAGAGACAGAGACATAGAGAGAGAAGCAGGCTCCATGCAGGGAGCCCAATGTGGGACTCCATCGTAGGACCCCAGGATCACACCCTGAGCCGAAGGCAGACACTCAACCACTGAGCCACCCAGGCATCCTGACATTTTGGTTATTTTGACCATGAAAGAGACTGCTTAAATAGAGGGGTGGTTCAAGGTCGACTTTGAGTAGGCAACATTTAAGCTTCACTATGAAGAAAGACAAAGGAATCCTCTCCAAGGCAAAATAATGTTCTCCTAGAAGGAAAAAGGGCAAGCAGTGGTGAAATCTCTGAGGTGAGGTAAGTCTGTTCTGTGGTGCATGGGAAAGCAAAGCCATGGAAGTTGCGTAGAGGGAGGCAGGCAGCTCTCAGAAACCAAGGGTAGACTGAAAAGTCCTCTTTTTGTGAGGATGAAGGTCTTCCAGCATTAGAATTTGTAGAGAAGCAAACAGCATGAGTAAAGACATGCTAGAAAGCACAGGCTCTTATGAGGAATGAGAAGTAGGTTTGGAGGAAAAAGAGGAAGGATAGAAAATCAAAGTTTGGAAAGCCTGAAAAAAGGTTGGGGTGTGGGGGAGAAAAGATTGAATATATCCAGTGTAGCTTACACTGTGCGGCCTGCATTACATTCAGGTTCAGGTTTTATTCTGTGGGCTGTGGAGGGCCATCGATGGTTTATAGGTAAGAGAGTGACTTGAGATGTGCTTGGGCAATGTTATTAGGAGAGTTATAGAATTGATATGGCAAGGTAAGGAGGCAGAGAGGTCAGTCAGGTATTGTACTGCTGTACTGCCCAGGCAAGAAGGTATAACTCTTTATTTATTTATTATTTTTTAAAGATTTATTTATTTATTCATTCAGAGAGAGAAAGAGAGAGAGAGAGAGAGAGAGAGAGAGAGAGAGAGAGAGAGAGGCAGAGACACAGGCAGAGGGAGAAGCAGGCTCCATGCAGGAAGCCCAACGTGCGACTTGATTCCGGGTCTCCAGGATCACG